AATTTTTTGCTTTGAAATCTGCGCTAATGTTAATATAGCCACTCCAGCTTTCTTTTGACTGCTGTTAGCATAGTGTATCTTTTTTCTGATCATTTACTTGTAACTTATTTGTGTCTTTATATTTAAAGTGTGTTTCTCATAGGCAGCATATGGTTGGGTCTTGTTTTTTTCATCCAATTTGACAGTCTCTGTCTTTTAATTGAATTGTTTAGACCATTTACATTTAATGTGATTATTGATGTAGTCAGGTTTGAGTCTGTCATAGTGTTATTTGTTTTCTATTTTTCTCATTTGTTCTTTGTTCCCCTTTTTCCTCTTCTTCTTCCTTCTTTTGAATTGAGTATCTTTTATGATTCCATTTTATCAAGAGATAAAATGACTTATTAATTATAACTCTTTGTTTTGTCACTTTAAAGTAGTTGCATCAGGGTTTGTAGTATACATCTTTAAAATATCAGAGTCTATCTTATTACAAGTAATTTTACACCAATTCACGTATAAGAATTTTATAAACGTGCATGTCCATTTCTCCCTCTTGCCCTTCATGCTATTGTTGGAATGCATTTTACTTATATGTATGTTATAATCTGCACAATACGTTGTTACTATGTTTTTGAACAGTCAATTAATTTTTTTAGTGTTTTAAATAATAAAAAAAGTTATATATTTAATTCTGCAGTTACCACTTCAGTATTCTTCATTCGTTCATATAAATTCAGATTTCCATCTGGTATCCTTTTTTTTTCCACCTGAAGGACTTCCTTTAATATTTCTTGTAGTACAGGCTTCCTGATGATGAATTCCTTCAGCTTTTGTATATCTGAAAATGTTTTGATTCAGAAATTCTCTTCATTTTTGAAAGATATTTTTGCTGCACGTAGAATTCTAGAATGACAGTATTTTTCTTTCAGTACTTTAAACATGTTCTTCCAGTGTTTTTTTGTTTGCATTGTTTCTGGTGAGAAATAGAATGTCCTCCTTATGTTTTTTCCTAAATATGTATTATATCTTTTCTCCCTCTGGCTGCTTTTAAGGTATTTTTCCTTATCACTGGTTTTGAGCAATTTGCTTATGATCTGTGTTGGCATAGTTTTCTTCATGTAGCTTTCATCGGGGGTTCGTGAACTGCTTGGATCTCTGGGTTTATAGTTTTCTTTAAATTTGTACAATTTTCAGCATTCTTTCTTCAAGTATTTTTTCTCTCTCTGTTCCTCCCTTCAGGGACTCCAGTTGCTTATATATTAGGCCACTTGAAATTGTCCCACAGTGCACTGGTGCTCTTTTAATGTTTTTGGATTCTTTTTTCACTCTGCTTTTATTTTGGTAGTCCCTATTGCTACACCTTCAAGTGCACTAATCTATTGTTAATCCCATCCAGTGTGTTTTTTTCCAAGACATCGTAGTTTTCATCTCTAGAAGTTCACTTTGGATCTTTTTCATATCTTCTGTATCTCTACATAACTTCTTGAATGTATAAAATACAGTTATAATAACTGTTTTAATGACCTTCTCTGCTAATTCTAACATCTGTGTCAGTTCTAGACGTGTTTTGATGGATTGATTATTCTCCTCATTATGGGTCCTGTTTTCCTGCCTCTTTTCATGCCTGATAATCTTTGATTGGTTGCCAGACGTTGCAAATTTTACCTTGTTGGGTGCCGAATATTTTTGTATTCCTATAAATCATGAGCTTTGTTCTGGGATGCAGTTAAGTTTCTTGGAAACAACTTGATCCTTTTAAGACTTGCTGTTATGATTTGTTAGGTGGGTTTGGAGCTGTCCTCAGCCCAGAGCTAATTATTTCTCACTACTGAGGAAAGGCCTTCCTGAGTACTCTACCTGTTGTCTTGATTAATTAACTGCTTTACCATTATAAAAAGACCTGCCCAATGCCCCATAAATTATAAGTTTGACCAGTCTGGTTGGAGGAAACAGGCACTTTTTCTGGCCCTATGTAAGCAGTGGGCACTATTCCCTCTAATCTTTCCTAATGGTTCTTTCTCTGGCTTTGGGTAGTTCCCTCACACACGTATACTTATGAGTACTCTTGAATACTTGAGGGGAGCCCTGTGCATGTCTCTGGGATTCTCTCTCTGTGCAGCTCTTTTCTTTCTGGCACTCTGTCCTATGAACCCTAGCATCCTGATCTTCCTGAACCCTCAGCTCTGTCTCCTCAACTCCGGAATCCACTGGGTTCCACTTCAGTTCCCCTTTCCTGTGCTGTGGCCTAGAAATGCTCTTCAAGAAATTGTAGGGCTCACCCTGTTTGTTTCCTGTCTCTAAGGATCAATGACTTTTGCTGCTTATGTCCAGTATCTTTAAAACCACTATTTTATCTATTTTTGTCTGGTAAATCCAGTCCCTGTTATTCCATTTTTTCCTGAAATGCTAGATTGGTCAGATTTGGCATTTACTCCCGGGGCTATGTCAAAGGTGGATTTGAAGATGTCGAGACTGGAATTAGGGAGTCAAACTAGATAGCTACTGCACCAGTACAGTGAAAAATGTATGAAGGTCTTGAAGGCAGTGGTGATAGGAACAGAGAGATAGGGAGGGATCCAGGAAGTATTTGGGAAGTAAAATGAACATGACTAAATGATTGACTGGACATGAGGACAATGGAAGGATGAAAGTTAAGATGACTCTAAGTATTCTAGGTGGGGAGGTTGGATAGATGTTGGTGTCACCAAGTGATATAGGGGAGGAGGGGATGAGAGAAAGTTTATAGGAAATCCAGGTGGAGATGTTTAGGGGCAAAAATTATATACAGTAGGATGAAAATACTGAAAATTTGTCCTGTCAGTTTCCCACAGTCTGGATTTTGCTGATCACATTCCCAGCATGGTGTTTAACATGTTTCTCTGCTTTCTGTATTTCCTACAAATTGGATCTAGAGGTTAGATGAGATTCTTTCAATGCTTTTTTTTGGCCAGACTAACCCATGGGTGGTATTGTCCATTGCTTTTAAAATAAAATCCAAACTCTACCATGGCCTCCAGCCTCCTCCTGGAACACACCAAACCCTTTCCTGTCACTGGGCCTTTGTCTCTGCTGCTTCCTCTGCCTCCCCAGGTCTTCACACGCTTGGCTCATTCTCATCCTCACGAAGGTTTCCCCTGACTCCTCTACCTAAAGTGGCCTCTCTGGCTGCTTTCTCTCCTCACCTGGGACATGTCCTCCAATGTACATATCACAGTCTGCAGTTATCTTGCCTGTTTGTCTATTTAATTTCTTGCTTAGCATCCACCTTCCACGCGATTGGAAGATCCCCGAGGGCAGGGAGTACAAGCAGAAGTCAGGTGGCACGAAAAGACCTCATCATTAAGTTTCCCTAGAAGCTCATTTCTAAGCCTAGAATCCTGCTATAGAGAACAACTTTGGTGCCCTTATTAACAATGAGTGTCATCATAGCCAGAGTTTATTTTCTGTATCAGTACCTCTGAGTTTGCTTTAACCTGGCAATGAGAAAGACACTTAATATTTCTGGGACTCATATCGCTTAACTGTTAAATTGGTGGGATATTGAATGCTTCATAAGCCCAGATTAATGTGGCCAAAGTGTCCACTGGGTTATTTTCCTCAGTACAAGGTCTGGGGAAAACAGTACCATTGGCGTGGTCAACAAAGACAATCAGAGCTTTTGTGCCCTAGAACTGGTAGTCAGTGTGAATACTGGGGACACCCTGGGAGTCCCAAAATTGGGCTACATCTTCACAGACATTTACTTTATTTAAGATCCTGCCAATTCTATACGTCATCAGAGACTTCTAAGACAGAATTTTCATAAAATGTCTGCATCTGCTGAACTCTCTAAATTTAATGTCACCAGATAGCACCTACATTATAGGCAGACTGAAGACCAGTTTATTCTGCACATGATAAAGGCTAGAGTTTCCTCTGTCTTAATAATAGCTGCTCTTCAGTGAGCCCTACTGTGTGCCAGGTCCAGAACTAGGAAGTTTCCATGCATTAACTCCTTCAGTCCTCACCACAAATCTATGAGGTCGGTGCTGTTGTCTCCACTTCACAGATGAGGATACGGAAGCCCAGTTAGTGATTCAAGGTGCTCTATAATATTTGTTCCGTAAATAAATCCGTCATTTTGTCCAAGGCCAACCAACTGTTTAAATAAAGGAGCTGAAACTTGTTGCTATATTGTTTCCTTCTATTTTTCTTTTCCTTTTCCTTTCTTTTTTGTAGGGTGCAGGCAGAGTTGCTGCAGAGGGAGCAGAGTGGGGGAAGGTAAAGACGGCTACCTAAGAACGCCTGGATACAGGCATCATGGCCCATCAGCTGTCTTACCTAATCCTGATTCTGTTTTCACCTAATAAAAAAGTGCTAATTCTTTAGTAAAGGCTGCCTCTTCTAAAACCAAGAGCAAACTAGAACTGTAGCCTGGATGGAAAAACAAAACCAAGCTCCTCTCCCTTTTAAAAACATTTTTTATTTTAATAATATTAATTGTATTTTTCTAAATAATGAAAAGACATTTTAATTTTGCAGACATTTTGGAAAAAATAGAAAAAAATCAAAACTGCCTATAATTTCAACACTTACAAAGAAACAGTTAACATTTTAGAGGCCTCTCTAACCACTTTTTTGCCACCTCATTTTCAGTGGCAGGTGGTTTTGCTTTGGTCTGCTATGCCAAAGAGCAAGGATTCTCTAGTTCCTGTGGCTGGTGCCTCAGCAGGAATGGAGACAAACCTTTGCTCACATCTAGAAAGCCAACGACGTTCTCCAGAAATAGAGAGCCAGCAAGTGTGAGCAGGATTAAGGAGCCTCTCAAAGTCATCTGAAGACAGGTCCCAGCCACGGATGAATAAGAATCACACATTTGGTCCTTTGGGTCCTTTTTCTCCTGGCCTATTGTAGATGTTCTTTTCCATAACGGAATCATTTGAAGACTTTTCCAGAGATAAGCAATGTTTTCCAATTGAATCAGCTCTTTCAGAAGTTTACTGGAACAAACTTGAGTCCTGTTCACTTTCTTTTATTAGGCAAACAATTAGCATTTTATGAAAATGAAGTCTGCAAACAAGATTACTTTATTAAATCACCACCTCCTCAACTTTTCTTCTCTGCAGTAAGTATTCACTATGATTTAACAGGCCTCCCACCAGCCCCATGAGTATGTTTTAAATCCTTTCTCTTCATCTGCGATTGAACCGAGATGTAAAATGTTTTCACTTTTCAGGCCTCTTGGAAAAAGCGGTTTTTCATTCTGTCAAAGAGTGGGGAAAAGGGTTTTCGGCTTTCCTATTACAAAGACCGTCATTGCCGAGGGTCCATTGAAATCGATCGGTGTGTATCCAATGGAGAAAACATTTGTAACAACAAATACTAACAACTTGCATGCAAATTGAAATTTAAACCATTGACTGAAAAAGCAAAATCTTCACACTTGCTATAATATTTGTTGCTGAAAAGAAGCTCAAAAGGGAAACATTTTGAGTAAAAGATAGCTATGTACTTATTTCGTATTGTTTATTACACTCAATAAATTATTAATCAATAAGCATTCAGTTATGAAAGACTTTGAGTCACTTAATTTATGGATGAGAGAGCAGATGAAATCATCATTTCATAAAGCCATGATGGATTTTTAAAAAGTATTTAAATTGACTTTTTTCATTTTATCTTTAAGAAATTTTGTACCAAAAAAATGAGAAAACATGATAATATATAGAACCAAGAATCCAACTGAAATAGGAATTTTTGGATTAAGTTTCAGGCCGAACAAAGTATTTCAATCTGAACAAAGTTCAGATCTAAACTTATTTTCTAAAATTATTACAATTTTCAAAACATTGATCAAGCAGATCTAAAGATTTATTCAATTTGAATCCTAACATAAAACATTAGTCAGTTTTCTTCTTAATTTTGTATTTGCACCAGTGTAATATGTTATGCCTATTCTAACAGAAATTCCATTGTAGAAGTTGGCATAAGTTATAGCCATGAAAAAATGCAATCTGTGCAGAAGATGTTTAAATGCCACCCTGAGGAGGTGATGTCCATCAGAACCCCTGACAGGGACTACTTCCTCGTTGGCCATGACAGGTAAGTTGTAGGATAACACAGAGGGTCTCTTGTGTAAAAACAAAACAAATAAACAACATTTCAAACCCGTAAACAATAAACATGATTTGAATAGAAACCCATGGCCACAACCTTCAAAACCATCTTGGCAGCTTTCATTGTATGTTAAAATACCTTGAAAAGTCACAGTGTTCATTTCCTAGGGGTGCCATAACAAAGTGCTTTAAACCGGATGGCTTAGAACAACAGAAATGTATTGTTTCATTATTCTGGAGGCTGGGAGTCCGAAATCAGAGTGTTTCAGGACCACACTCCCTGTGAAAGCACGAAGGAAGATCTATTCCAGGCCACTGTCCTAACTTCTGGTAGTTTCTTGGCAGCATAACTCCAGTCTTCCTATGGCTTTCCCTCTGTGTGCGCATCTTTGTTGAAATTTCCCATTCTTATAAGGATACTAGTATTGGATTAGGAATCCACCCTACTCCGGTTATGATCTTATCTTAACTAATTACGTCTGCAACAACCTGACCCAATTTCCAAATAGGGTCACATTCTGAGGTACTGGGAATTACGACTTCAACGTAAGAATTTTAGAGGGACACAATTCAACCCTTAACAGTCACCGTCACCCCAGATACATTCCACGTAAAAGAACGCAGTACACAAACATCTGTGCAAGCTACATTTATTAGGGAGAAGCTATGCTCATCCCTGAAGGAGTCTTCAGATTTTAAGAGGGTTTCTTGGCGCCAGCTAAGGGGCCTAATGGATTCTTCATAGATGATTATCTGCTTGACAGAGAGGCTAAGTTTTGGGGAGGAAGCTGTGCAGAGGAGGCAGTGAATGCTAGCCAAAGAAGAACCATTTTTATGTATCTATTTTATGCACACGTGCCACCTACTAGAAGGGAAGAGGGACAGAGGTCAAGGGAAATTTACGTGAAAGAGACATGTAAATTTCACTCCACTTTCCAGGACCACTTCACTGGTTGACGCCTCATTATAATTTACTTGGGCTACAGCCATGGCCTCCTAAATAGCCCTTCCCTGACGCAAAGCCTTTTTTGCACAGCTGCAATATGAATCTTTTCAAATCTCAAATTTGAACATACGACTCTCTTGCTCAAAAGCCATCACCGACTAGTCATTATTTATAGTCCCAAATTTTTCATCATGACATTCAAAGCCTATCATTTTCGGCTCAAATTATGAAGAAACTTGATCTGTTGCAGATCGACCCCAAGGCAAAAAGCTTTCTTTGAAATTGTCATGAGAGTCAGCAGAAAAGAAGATGTGATTTCTATAAATCCATTCAAATGCGCTCTCCATAAACACATGCAGTCCCAGAAGGGAGGCACAGGTGGATGACTACACAGAAATGGCACCAACGGGTTAAGGGGCTCCTTAAGAACACAAAAGAAATCAGTGTCAAAGCCCAAAGCTCCAAACCCTGTGATTACTACTGTTATTTCCACCTCTCTTCCCATTTCTCTGAGCTTTCCTCACAGAGGTGGCATGAGGGTTAAAGCTAGTGTGCGAGTGTGGAGCTGGTGAGGAGCCTGTGGGTCATTTAACCTACTTAGGCAAAAAGTCCTTATTTCCCTGGTACCTCTTCCACTGCCTGTTCCAACCTTAATAAAGGAATCCTTCCCTGGTTCAAAGGAGTGCAGGTGCTGTTGTTGCCACATGCCGGCTGAAAGTTTATTCCTATCAACAGGGAGAAGATTAAAGACTGGGTCTCCTTCATCTCATCATTTTGCTGGGATATGAAAGCAGCCCGTCGGAATCCAGAGGTGACTGTCTATCACTAACAAAATAACAGGGCGCCTGAACACAGCCCGCTTTCACAAGGAAACTCTGAGAGCTTTTTTTTCTGCCTTAGCAACTGGCATTAATACAAGGAATAAATAAGGGAGAAAGTGTATGTCTTTGTTATTTTTCTGATTAACAGTAGGAAAAAAATACTTTTGTGTTTTGTAAGAGAGCTAAAATACAGACATTTCAGATTTTCATTATTGGGGTAGGAGGAGGGAAAGTTAACTGGCATATTTTTAATAGTAGCTGAAACTATAGTATTTTCCATCATTGTTATTCAAGGTACATAACAGCTACCTTTTGAATGACTAAGTCTAGGGTTGTTTCTATAAAAATGCTTTTCATTTATGTGGCATTTTTGATATAATGTCTCTTTAATGTAAGGACTATTAGCTTTAAGTTTTTCATTTACTTCAATTTACACAAGTTCTTTCTTAGGGAGGACCTCTATAAATGAAACTTTGGTCTCTAGATAGCATTTTGACATGTTTTCTAGGTTGTTCTATGCTTAAAATGAAAGCAGAGGTCAAGGAGGAGGGAAAGCAAGGCTACAAGTCTACAAGTAGACTCAAATGAATAGAGCAAAGGGGTGGGTGCGCAGGACAGAGGGTTGAAAAGACAGGTTGAGGTAAGTCAGGGCATCCCTGAAGGCCAGGCTGAGAGTCCTCAAGCATCTGGGAGCAGGAGAGAGATCAGATGAGCTGGTGTCTTGGTGAGAGAAAGCTGGCCGACAATATAAATGTTAATGGTGGAAGACGAGTCAGGGAGCCCAGTGACAAGGCTGTTGCTTCATTCCAGACAAGAGATCAATCGTACCCTGATTCCAATATTTCTTTTTCATAAGCAGGAGAAACTCTCATTGGGTGATAAAAGGCCTTCTTCAGACCCCAGCCCTCTCCTTGGTCCTTCCAGCACATTGGAGATTGTCAGCTCCACCAGGCCAAGAAACAGTCTTCCAGACATGGTAATCAGGTTCTCCTCATCCCCTCTCAGGGTGCCATGCCTGGGAGTCAGCTGATGCTTCAAAGGTCTTACCAATGTATTTGACACCTTCCTCAAAGTGTAACCCAACACAAGAATGATTCTTAGCCCTAGTGTTTATCCTATATTTAGTCTGTTTCCCTTACCATAGACGAGACTTTCTGCTTGTCCTGCCTATCTCTAAATGTGTTCATTCATTTCAGATGCTGCTCAACATGCATCTGGTTATATTGCGTAGAGATCTCCTCAGCTAAACAAAAGCCTGGGTGGCAACCTTTTCCTTCCTTTCACACACAGGGTACAGATTACCTCTGTAAAAAGATTCCCCAAACACCACTTGATTTCCCGTCGTACCATCTGTACTCCTCAGGCAAAGGCAGAGTTCTTATTAACTTCCTTCATTTACCCAGATCAGTCTTGCTTGTGTGTGTGTGTAACTTCATCTTCATTTCTAATGAAATTCGTTTGAGGAAAAATAAATACGATACATCTGCCCCTTGAAAGTGATTTGTAACTGTACTCTCAGCTCTCTTGGATTTTCAATTTTCCCAATTTTGGTTATTTTTCTTCTGCCATGGATACTATTTTGTCCCTTAGAGATGTAACCATTGACTTTCTCTTCTCCCTGGATACCAAGCACATCTTAATGTGGCATAGCCCCCTATTTTATCTAGATGGAAGCTCTCCACCTATTTTAAAAGCTTTCCGTAGCATATGGAATTCACCAGGCCAACGCCTCATTTGGTGTTTGTAGGAAGGGTGATAGGAAACAGGATTGAGAAGGACAACACTTTTCAGCAAATGCCTCTTGCTTTTCACTCACCATACCCCTTCTCCCTAAAGATAACATCATCGGTCATCTTGCCTTTTAATACTATGTATTCCAATCCAGTGATTCTTCAATTAGCTTTAGTTAAGAGCACCATCTGCCTTGTTGGAATTTGTTGTTGTTGTTGTCAAAATTAAGTGGAAACTCTTCTTCATCCCCAGTGCAGCATGATCTGGCTCCACGAGCTTGGAGCTAGAAAAATGGACACAACTTAAATACATCTACTTTTTAAAATAACTTTCTTTCGAGGACTTCCTAGAGAACATTCATGGTCTTTTCAAAACCGTCTGCTCTAAGGCATTGTTTTGGGAAGAATTAAATTGTACTTATAACAATTTTCCTGCCATGCAAAGCAGCTACTTTAGTAGAGTATCTGGTATCTATTGAGGACGGGAGACAGTAATTGGTTGAATCTATAGCACCTTGAAGCCTATAATTCATACTATCACAAGATCAACACTACAAAATCGCATTGCTATGGAAACAATAGAAGTACACAAGCAGAGCACATAAAAGGAATATTGAGCAGAAAGAGGAAAGGTGCGATGCCTTGACTCTGGGATAATTACCTTCTCAGATGGCACTGGGTGAAAACTGGAAAAAGATAGGGGTGGGGGACTCTGTGATGGAGCTTAGTGACTTGGAACAGAACCCACCAGAGAGAACCACTAGTTCTGAGTTACAGGTCCCAGTGGTAGAGAAAAGTCTAAAAGACAGGTTTATATCTTTACATCATCCATGGTGACCCAGACTCCAAAGTTAAGTTCAAGTTGTGTGGGCTTCTGGATGTAACCTTGGAAGATCCTCTGATCTTCTCAACCCAACTAATCTATAGTGGCTTTTCCAGAAAGCATTTGGTTTAATTCTGTCTTCCAAAGAAAAAGAAAACCATTAATTCTGTCTTCCTCTCTTTTTTCAGCATTTAACGAGAGAAAAAATTTCTCCAGGACGTGGACAAGCTCATCTACCACATGATTTCTTGCCAGAGACCAATCAAGATACAGAAGAAGAGAGTCATTATATTAGCCCTCGAAGTATTCTTTTAGAGGTAACCCTTTCCATCCATTAATCTTTCATTCCTTCTACGACTATTTACTGAACCCCTGCCATGCACTATTCCTGAGGCACTAGGTTGGGTTCAGTGGAACACAGAGGTGACTCAGACAGAGGTGATGTGCCCCAGTGCTGACTTGTGAATAGGAGCCAACTATAATACAAGACAGAAAGGGCTCCATGCCGAGGAGAGATGTTCATAAAATGGCCGGAGTACACAACGCGTGGGGGGCGGTGGAGCTGACTTCCAGACAGAAGTCCAGAGAAGGTTGCTTGGAGGAGATGACATTTGACCTTATTTGATTGGTAAAATTTGCACTTGGAGGATTGACTTGGGGAGTCTTTCTGCATTCTGGGCAGAAAGAATCATCTGAGCAAAGGTCCTTGGATGATAAATTGTGTGGTGTGTATCAACTAGTCTGTTGATCCACTGGAAGCCACGGCTGAGTGCCTTCTGTATGCTAGGTGCTGTACTTACTAGGCATGGTGGCTGCAGTGAAGGACCTGACATCCTTCCAGCCCTCAGAGCTTACAGTCCCATCAGTTACTACATGATAATGCTACAAAGTGGCATGGTCAAAGAGCTGCGGAAGCAATAGGAAAAGGACAGATTTTCTCTCTCCACCAGAGTCAGGGAAGGCTTCAGAGACAAAATGGCATTTAATATGTATATGGTGACTAGTTCAGTTGGGCTATGACCTAGGGTGAGTGAATGGCATAGTGGGAAATAAGACAGAAAAAAGAGCCAGACCACGATGGGTCTTGAATGCCAAGTTGACTTCATTCTGTAGTCAGCACAGGGGCAGTCATGCTTTCTGAGTTGGGAAGTGGCAAAACTTGAGTTATATTCCAATGGTATTAACCCAGCAGCTATATTTGAGGAGACGATAGAGGGAAGAGAATGGAAATGGGAGGTAGGAAGACCAAATTGGGGGTTTTCTACAAGGTGGTGACATGCGTTCACACAAAAGAAGCATTCTGGGTTCAAATAAGTTTCAGAGACATCAAGATAAAGTAAGTTAAACAAGCTTCTTAACTGCAGAATTCTCAGCGCCTTTGGTATGCAGCGGTACATTATAAGTAGCCAAGTGGGATACAACATACAGCATTCCCCAAGCTCATTTGACCACAGGAGGTTTTTTCACCGAAAATATTTTCATGCTTGTGTTCTCTGGGACACAACGATGGCAACTAGTCTTTTATGACAGTCCAACCAACCAGTCAAGTTATACTGAGCATTAGTTATATGCCTGGCATTTGCTAGGTACTTTATGGGATGCAAAGGCTAGTAAGGCAGACAAAACTAAGCTAAAAGACCATTTAAAAAGACCCCCCAAAAAATTAAGTACAAAACTATGCTGTAGAAGTTCAGAGAAGGGAAATATTGGCAGTGGCTGAGGTGGTCAGAGAGGACTGTGGGGTCTCAATGAGGCCTAAGACAACTTCATTAGGCAGAAAAGAAAAGGGGCATTCCAGGTGAAGGGAGATCCGTGAAGATGGGTACCGGAAGATCATTGTTTGTGGGAGGAGTGATGGTAAGACTGGCTTGACTGAAATCCAGCGTTCTGATTGTGGGTTGATGATTAATTTGTCAGCTAGGCAATAGAAAACCCTTAGGGTGTTTGAGCAACCATTGCCCCAAATGACTGTCTTAGTTCTAAGAGGCTAGTTAAGAGACTCCTGAGGGCAGTATTTTCCAGAACCTTTACAGCCTTCTGAAGCAACTTGGGCTGCCTGTGAGCATAGTAGCCTGAGGCCAGCTCTGCATTGTGTCCGTCTTTGACCCAACCAGGTGACATGATTCTACAGTAGTGCTGGTTGGGAAAAAGAGTTCATGCCATTAGGGGCCTAGTGATGAAACAGAGAGGAAAATAGCAATTTAGTTCAATAAAACAGTTCCATCAGGAACATGAGGGCCCTGGGAGAAGAAAATGGACTTTGAGTCTGCAGAAGCTTTACTGGTTCAGTCTCACGTAGATAAGATTGGTTGATATTCCCAGAACAAGCACCACTGCTCATCCAACGGTTCATCCAACTTACTATTTCAGGGCCTAGAGCCATTATGTAAGGGGTGAAAGGGTACCTGGCTTATTAGTAGACTTGCATCCTTACATCTTTTCCTCTTGTATATAGTTGGATAATATTATTGCTTCCAATGATTCTGGCGAATGCATTGAACCTGGTAGTCCAGACCAGGTCTCCAAGAGAACTGAGCATCATTACATGTCAATGAAATCCTGGTAAGTATCCTGCCGTATTTTTAAAATTGATTTTAGCTAATGTACCATTAATGTAATTATAGAACATTTACTGTTAATATGTTAGCACACAGCATTACCATAGCCCAAGTTCAGCACATTATTCAGTAATCTCGAAACAAGAAAAAGTGAGAATGGTTCTCTATCCATAGACAACCATTTAGTGACATCCTCAGGGTGTTTTCTGCCTCCTGAGAAGTTATTTTCTATTTTGCATTTACGTCTCTCACACTCTCACTTCTGCCCCCCAAACCCTCCCAATATAGAGGGTTATCTTGACTCCGTTTCCATTTTTAGAAGGAAAGTTTGTTGGATTTGATTCTAACTGTGGCTGTGATTCTGATGGTTGGATGAATTTCCAGACCTTGTTAGTTTTCACACGGCTGTTAGCTCCTTAACTCTGATTCGTATATTGCAGAAAGTTGTAAATAAACACACTAAAAAAGGGTGTGTGTTAACTTGTTATGCTCCAGTTTTTTCAAACAGACATCCCAAGAGTCTGCTGATAGCAACAAGGAATCCCAGACCCTTCCAGACACCCAGAATGTGGGGCTTCACCTAGAAGAACAAGGCTCAGGACATGACTCTTGTCTTTCACCTGCCAACGCAGAAGCACAGACCACGAATGACAAAAAGGGGTCGGCCTCACTAACTGTTGTGCAATTGTCTATTTTAATCAAGTAAAGTTCTAATTTCTAAAAGTTTATGGGCCCTTAGAGCAAGACAGATTTCCTTTTTAAATCAGAATTCAAATTTTAAAGCACTTCCTCAAAATCTCCAAGTCAGCCAAGAATCTGACCAGCTTCTGCTTCTCACTGAAGGATAGTGTGTAGCAGACCTGGAAGGAAAGTGGTCCCCTGGGCTGTGGGTGGCATTTTCAGATGTTTTCAAAAGTTCTCCTTTGACTAGTCTTTCAGTTTGGAGAACTTGGGATCACACTGATCTGAGTAGCATGTCACCCAGCTTTTACTGTTAAAATTATGGACATGTAAGCACTTGAGGTTTGGTTATAGACTAAGAGGGGGACATTTAAGTTTCAAGTGATGCCAAGAGCATTTGATGAGATTTTTGTCAATTTTAACTCTTTTTGGTGTCCTCTATGAAATTTCCAATGGAGAAATGTACAAACTGATGTGAGATGGGCAGTTATATAATCAATTTAGTTCATTTTTCACTCCTTCCCATTGTCTACCATCTACACCACATCCCAAGAAGGGTGGGGGAGGGGTGTTAATGAGTACTTTTCAGTAACTTAAACTCATATTCTTCTCCAAATGTTTTGGACAATCTTTCACTGGAAAATGCCATCTCAGATGTAGGAGGCCAAAGTCTACTCAGAAAGTACAGTTCACAGCCGGAGAGAGTTGCCTGATATAACTCTTACAAATGTCTTATCTCATAGTAACATCCCTGATGAAAGCCACGTGGAGACGGTGAATGTGTTCCTTTCTCCTCCTGACATCAGACATTATCTTGCTCTCACAGAGGCCGCGGGACGGGTATGGTAAGTCGGAGGTTTGAAAGTTATTGATTATAAATCAGGCTGGAAGATATAAAGAGAACAATTGTGTCTTGAAACACCATATGTGGCAATACTGCCTGGAACTCTTGAACTGTCGTAATGCTGTTGTCACCAAAGTTCTTTGATCAAGGCAGAAGTAAGGGAATTATTTTGTAGGAGACAACTAGGAGGTGGGTGGGTATAGGAGGACCCAAAAGTCCAGAAAGCAGCAAATTTCCCATTGCTTGAAGGTGAGGAAAAGTGGGCAAGAATACGTATGATCCAAGGAAATCATTCCCAGTCAATGTACAATGAGTATTGGATGAATGAATGAAGTTAGTGAAGTCCACAAGAATCAAAGATCTAAAAGAAAAAGGCGTACCGGGGTCTAAGACTTCCAGACACCAGCTAAAAACCTGCTGGTCAGGGACTCAGACACAAAAGACTGTGTGGCAGAGAATTTTCTCAAAACGATCACTGTTTCTTAAATTTTACATTCTTTTAAAGGCTTCGTAATTCATTTTCGTAGAAGATTACATTTTAACAAGGGAAGAAAGCCCTTTAAAGTAAATGTTACACACCAATTGTCTTATAAGTTCCATAAGAGGACACCTTCCATTTTTCCAAATTTCCCACAGTCTAAGTCTCAATAAATACTTGACTGAAACTGTAGATGTCTCTGCGCCCGAGCTTGCTCATTCATTAATTCATTTATTTTTTCATTAGATATTCATTGTGTAATTATTATGTGCTCACTTTCAATAAATACTTATTGAGCACCTTCTGTTTACTTGGAGTAATGGGATTATAAAAAAAATTTTTTTAAAGCATGGTGCCATAACTCCAGGATCTTATAGACTGGTGAAAAGACAGCACCATAAATAAGTAAATATAAAATGCATTTTGATTTGAATATGTAAGAAATGAGGTGCTCACGCAGTGAAATAGAAGCTCAGGGGAAGGGGAGATAAATTACAGGAAGTGGAATGTACTTGAGAGGTGGTATGACTCGAGCTGGGCTTTGGAGGAAGGGTCAAGTTAAGATTGTCCAAAACATTTTGAGATAGTGATAGAGGAAAGAATACTCTGAACAGGAAAAGGGCTGTGTCTACTTCAGATGTGGTGCACCATAGCTAAAGAAACTGGCGACAGCAACAACAATGGGAGAGACTAGAGTGAGGACCCTATCTGGTCCCCATCTGTGTCCTGCCCTCCCAGCGAGCACGGTCGGGCTCACCCTTGTGTCGAATGCTGTATTCCCATTGCAGCGTGGCTCAGTGGGAAGGCCCCCCGCGCCTGGGATGCTTATTTTTTCACGGAGATCACCTTTTGGCGGTGAATGACCTGAAGCCCCAGAGCCTGGAGGAGGTCTCCTTGTTTCTCAGCCGGTCCAACCAGAAGGAGGTGAGTCCTGCTGACTGGCCCTGGTCAAGGAAGTCAGTGCCAGAAGGAACAAAATCGAGGTCTTAGATGAAGTCTGAACAGTACTCTGAAGACAAATGAGACTCTTCATTCCTCAGCCACCAAGTGTAAATGACACTTTATACAATACGTGTAAATAACAGGATGTTATTTTAGGATCTTTCAAAATTCTTTCATATAAAGTAGTATTTGGAGAGAGCACTGGGCTAGGAGACTGAGCAGCTGGGTTCAGGACCTCAGATGCAGCGTGATGTGGCAAAAAGAGCTTGCAATGGAATCAGACCGACTCAGGGTTTGCATCCCACCTCCTTTAACCAATTTGTGCCTCAATTTTCTCTTCTGTAAAATTAAGGATAATGATAATACTAGTCATTGGTGAATTAAATGAGATAATATATGTAACGTGCTTACATCAGTGACTGGCACATATTAGGTGTGCGATGTAGTTACTATTACCGTTACTTCTACTCCTATTGGCTGGGGAATGTTGGACAGGTTCACCTTTTTAAGCCTGTTTCTTCATCTCAGAAATCAACATAGCCGTATTGTCCTCACAGAGTTATTGTAAAAATTAAACAAAACACGTGAGTATGTACTGAGTATGTATGTTTTTAAAACGTTAGCCATGGTTCTGCCTATTAGTACAGTCTCCATGTTGTTAATTCCTTTCCTGGTCAAGTTTTGTTTCTAATAAGCCACATGACCTTGGGAAAAATCACTTCCTTTCCTGGGCATCAGTTTCTTCCCTCTAAAGTGTGAGAGTTGATTTTCAAACTGGGCTTCTTGGACCCCTAAGATGGGGACAGGGAGAGATCAGAGGAAGGGGACAGTGTGGGGAGCTTGAAGCAGAGCAGTCTACATTTATCATTTATCTTTTATATATGTTGCACTTTCCCATTAGCTCTCCTTAAAGAAACAATTCCTGGGCTTAAAATTTCTGAAAACCACAGCACTGGGTGATCTCTCAAATTTCCTCCAGCTCTGACAGTTGATGGTTAGATATGTCTTATCTCTTCTGTATCACACAATAACCTTGTTGGTTAGACAAATTGTACTTCCCCTATTATCTAAATGGGGAAGCCCAATAAGGATGAGCGAGTCGTTGAAGATACATAGCTAGTTAGTGGCAGAGCCAGGACTCATTCATTCCTTCATTCACTTGCTCACCATCTATTGAACACCTACTGTATGCTGGGTACTGTGCTAGGTCTTAGAGCTACAAAAATGGCCTTAGGCTGAGCTTAAGGAGCTCACAGATTAGTGGATAAAACAGGCATGTTAGGTGCTGGTTACAATGCAGTGTGTGCCCTGAGATATGAACAGAGGGCCATGGGAGCGTAAAGGAAAAATGGAGTAAATCTAATGGCGGGAAGCCAGAAAGACATCTCAGAGAAGGGGATGTTATGCTTGGGTTTTGAAGACTAGGGTAGGAGTTTGTGTGGTGGAAAAGTGGTAGCTTTCAGAGGCCCAGGCCAGCAATCTGGTAACTATATTTCCTCTGCCCAAGACCCACAATGGGGCCAAGTGTTCAATATAATCTGAACCCTTCTGGAAGTTAGCAAACAATACTGTGCCCCAAAGATCTAGGCATCAGCTCTGAAGCCAAGATAAAGATTTTGCCTGGGAGTAGATTCAGGACCTCCACCCGGACGTCGCCGACTGCCTTTCTAGATTGTGGAGTCACTTGCATGGAAGGGGACCACAGAATTTCTCTGAGCTCATTCTGCCTGACCCCCTTCTCTTGGCTGACAACTAGACACTATTGGCAAATATCAGGTGTTCACCAACATGATTATCTGGAAGACCAAAAAATTCCCCTACCTTCCCACCCCACCATTCCTGGCTTATTTCTTTAGGTTAAAAATGGATATCCAGTTCTTTTAAAAAGTTCAAATAGCTGGGCCCTGGAAGGAGAAAGAATATCAGAAGAGGGGAGATATGGAACCAACGGAGGGGCAGCCAAGGGCCTCTAATGTTTTAGAGCACCTGAACCAAGGAGAGTTACTTTCCTTCCTTGAGCGAAGCGGAGTTGAGAGGAGTGGGAGGATGGGGTAAGGACGATGAGAGGAGAGAATGTGAGATTTTAAAAGGAAGGGGAGAAGGGGTGTGTGTGAAAGGGGAGAAGATGCTAGATTGCAGGAGAAATGCAGCAAACTTCGGTTTCCTCCCAATTTTGTCAGTGGCTGGTCCTATCTGGTGGTCTCATTTGGATTCTCTAGTTTCAAGAGACTTTTTAATTCTTGGCACAAGTGGGCCCATCTGGGCACCATCAATGCTCTCTGGAATCTGCCCTAAAAGCTCAGGCTGGCGGATGCCAGAGAATAAATATGCATCTTCCACCAGAATATACAGGTCCTCCTGGCTTCCTCTGGCCCTGATATTGTAGTTCATTGCAGGATTTTCTTCAAAATCAGCTTCAAAGGGTGTGAATGAGGACAGACTGAGAACAAACAGTACTAAGCATAATCTTTAGTCATTTAATTTTCTTCTTTCTTGTGTTTTAGAAAGTAAAACTCACCATTGGCCGGATCCCAAATTCAGAGAAATTCCATGCTGTATCCTGCACATGCCCCTTAAAATACCAAGAGGTTGTACCTTTTCAACTGGATAAGTCTGGACTGGAGATGACGCTGAAGAGGAGTTCAGCCATTAAAAAGGGTCAGCAGAAAGGAACCAGAGAATAACATGCCAGGGACCCATCCCAGGGTGGGGTGAGGATGGGACCTGGATTCCGTACTGGGCTCCCCTGCTCACCGCTGTGTGATATGAGGCAAGTCAGCAAACCTCTCTGAATTTCCACATCTGCATCTTAACAATGGGGATAACTGTTCTCTCTCTGGCTGTTGCATCAGGGATATGGAGGGGGCCAAGTGGGATAATGACTATGGAACACAGTGCAAATGTAAGGCCTTATTATCCCAGACTTTGTCCCAAACACCGCAGACAAAGACTGGGTAAGTCCCTTACCCAAAATGTGTATGTGTTCTGTGAGGTCGTGGTCCACACAATCCCTTCTTTGTTGGGAAAGTACAGTTGGAAATATTCATTCCAGGAAGGCAAGATTCCCAAGAGAGATGTGCTACCGTATCAGCCTTCCCAAAGACTTCCTGCTTCTCATCGTGTCCATAGGCCAGAATAGGCCGAGACAGAGTGGCCTCTTCGATTCAATAATTATCCTGTTTTTTTTAGTGACCCAGTAACTACTTTAGAAGTGGAAGCAGTTTTAAATGATATCCAGCAAAGATCTACTTGCCCTGTGAGTGATACAAGAATGACTTAGCACCTCTAAGTTTGAAAGGTCTTAACTAATTGATGCATTACCTAATTGATCCGGGAAGGCCAAAAGAATCACATCTTTTTTCATAAACAGGGAACCAAATACAGAGGGCTAAAGGACTAATCAAATCTGCGAATAGTAGGGCAAAAAGGAGCTTCAGAAAATATATCTTACCATGTCACCATTTCACACGGGAGGAAATCAAGGCCTCAAGTGTTTAATGACATACTTTCTTTGTGGCTCTGGGTTTCATAGCTGTTTACTGGCGGAACCAAGAATCTAAAACCAGCTCTGAGGAACAGATGTCTGATCCTTCCTTGGTCTCTGGATTTAGATTTGAAAAGACTTTCAGCATATAGAAGACATGTTCAGACACAGTTTATTTTCTGTCATCCAGATTGTGCAGAAAGTGTAAACATTTTTCATTTACGTGCCCCATTGGACCTACTGTTTCCTTTTTTTTTTTTTAAAGCTGGATTGGAGTTAGGACTCTGCTTTTTTCCCAGTTTTATTGCGATGTAACTGACATGTGACATTGTATTCGTTTAAGGTGTACAACAGAATGATTTGGTATATGTATATTGACCCACTCTTTCTACTTCTAGAAATTTATCCTACAGAAATACTCATACAAGTACACAAAGATACCTGTAAAAAATGTTCACTGTAGCTCTGTAGCATTGTTTGTAAGAAAAACATCCTTTGGGGATTGCTTAATTACGATGACTTCATATAATCGAACACTGCAGATGTTAAAAGTTTTGCATAGATGGTTATGGAAAGATGCTCATGTTACACCAAGAATGAAAGATGCAAGCTGCTGTACAGTGGGCATAGCATCATCCTCTTCTTGCAAAAATAAATTAGTGGGGTGTGTGTGTCTGTAAAATTTCCCCAACTCTAATTAGGGAGAGAAATCCCTCCCTCACAGGGCTGTTGTGAGGTTTAAATGGATAAGGGATGCGTAGCACCTGACACGTGGCCTGATCAGGAAATGTCCGTTCTGCTGCTGTTGCTCTGACATTACTTTTTTCTTAAGTCTAGAAGAACATACATGAAATCGTTAATAAGAATCATCTCTGAGAAGTACGATCAGGGTCGGCCATGAGGGGGAGGCATTTCTGTAATGTTTGAATTTTTCTTTTTTTGCAATGAGCCTATGTCAATTTTATAGTATAAAATAAATATGTGTGAAAAATAAATAAATAAGTGAATATATTTTAAACCTTCTTAAGTAAGAAACCAAGCCACCTCAGTGACAGAAATAAAAAACCAACAAGGTTTGGTGACAATGTGGGTAGATACACCGCTTTGAAGCCCATAGGCCCTTCCCCTGTTTTGCTCAGAAGTCTACACAGCGATGCCAATAAAAGCTGAAATGAGATAGACGGGCAAATCTGAGCCACCAGGCCCTTCAACCCCCTCATCAAGTCAAAGAGCCTGAAGACTAAGGCGTTAGATGGTTTACATGGCTCATGGAAGAGCTGGCATGAGAACACGGAACTCCCGGCTCCCGCTCCCTGCTCTTCCCAGTACGTCACGACGAGGGCAGCCAGCCTGCTCCTGGTGCTCTCTCAATCCCAGAACACTCTGCAGGCAGCTAAATCAGCTACAATACTTGCTAGGAGGATCCTGCTCTAGGGGCATCTCCCACATGAGGGATTTGTTCCCAAAAGGAAATGTCAGGGCGATTCCAAGCTCCCCCCAACCCAGAGATCCTGATTCAGTAGGTCTGGTGTGAGGCCCTGGAATCTGCGTTCTAATGACCACTCCCAGCCGATTTGACTGCAGCTGGACCAGGGAGCACACGTTGGAGCATCACTCCCAGGGTCACATGGCGAGGCACGTGCATCTTCTGAGAGGCTGCAGAATATAGACTATGCACATGAGCATTTTTGCAGGGCAAGGGCCCCTAGTTTTCAACAGTTCTGGATGAGGCTGCTGACTGTCATCCCTTTCCTCCCCCTCCAAAAAAGAAGCCTGCTCCTGAGCAGAGAAGCCTGGTTTTCCTTCCTTCCTCTCTGCCACAGGGGAGCGTGCCACCACGGGCCGCTGGGTGGTTGAGGCGTGGAAAGCCTTCAGCTGGCAATGGGAACCTGGTGACTTGGCTTCAGGTGAAGTCCTTTCTGCAGGCCGTTCCTCATTGTCCAGAGTCGTTCCTCTGTGCTTCCTTTTTCCCGGAGCTGGAGCTGGAGGCCAGCCACTCTTCCCCAGGAATCTAATCTAGGCCCCAGCCCAATGATAGGTCTTTCTTCCTCCTAACAATGGTAGTGGTCCCAAGGAAAGCTGGTGATTAAACTGGCCTAGAAGACTAGTCATCAAGGCATTTGTCCCAGATCCCAGCTTTTGGATTCCTCTTCTGTTAATGGACTAAGAGAGCTGTAGGACATCTTGCTGAGAGGCGGGGGCAGGTCTCCAGCCCGGGGCTAGGAAGACTTGTGCCTCGTATCCATATAATTTCACCAGACAGAGAGGGTGGGACGGACCTTCCTCACACTGCCCACCGCCAGCTCATCCACACCTGTCCTCTGTGCATTATGCCATGTGCGACCTTTCCCCTTGATGTTCATTCCAACCCGATTCCAGGTGATGAATGTGAGTGGAGGTGGGGCCAGGACTGCAGAGTGCTTGGCCCAGCTGTCTCTGCAAGGGCATGGAATGGCTGATAAGCTATTCTTGGCCATCACAACGTAGGCCTGAGTCTCCTGCAGCTCTCAGTCTTGTGGGGAAGAAACCAGAGCCCAGAAATGTAAAGAGGCTTCGCTGGGCTCCCCGAGCTCCAGGCCACAGCCCCAGCTCCCAGGCCAACACCTTTTCTACACTTGCACAGCTCTCCAGCAGGCCATTTGGAAGTGCCGTCTCTCCAGCCACTCCCTCATCCTAATGGTTGCCTCATGCTTCTAGAATAGGCCTCAGGGGATGTCTCTATCTTTCCACTTTGTTCTCTCCGCTGAGGATGCAAACTATTAGAGTGAAGTCTAAACAGCAGCTGGTAAGATATGCCATGAATGCGCAGGGCCAAACACATCCATCCTTACTGGAAGCTGCTGACATGTTAGCACAGATTCCAGAAAGGCACTCATTGTACGTAGAGAGTGAACCCCTCTCCACTTATGTATATGTACATATGTGTGTATATATACATAGAGAGGGCAGAAGGGAGGGAGGCAGAGAGGAAGAGAGAGAGAGAGGCAGCAGATAGGGAACAACAATAATTCTTTATTTTCTTTTTCCTCCTCAAAGCCCCAGTACACAGTCGTATATTCTAGTTGTAAGTTCTTCTAGTTCTTCTATGTGAGCTGCCACCACAGCATGGCTACTGACAGACAAGTGGTGTGGATCCACACCCGGGAACCGAACCCAGCCCATCAAAGCAGAGCACAATGAACTTGAACCACTAGGTCATCCGGGCTGGCTTAATAATAATTCTTCAATAAGCTGAGAAGCTGAAGCACCACAATGTGTCGTCTCCCCCATCCCCCCACCACCCTTCTCTTTGGGGCTTTTGCCAAGTGACTTTCCCTTGGGATGATCCAGAGAATTTAAAGTGTCATAAACAGGCCCAAAGAGAGAGGGCTTTCAGATTCAGAACCTGGATTAACTCAGAGTTCTTTAGTGAAGTTGGACTTTTGGATATGCGAGAAATGTGTTTTATTGAAAAAGCTCTTTAAACTGTCTGAATTGATGAAATCTTTGTCCAATGATCAAGGATCTGGCAGGATCTCAGGAGCCATTCTCAATATCAACTCTGGCTAGATGGCTCTGGAAGACCAAGGGTGTGAGTGAACCCAGCACTCACAGTACTGGACTCGGGAGCTGTGCTACCTGATTTGGTAGCCACATGTGGCTTTTTAAATTTAAAAAAATTAAGTTAAAATTTAAAATTTAGTTTCTCAGTTGCACTAGGTCCATTGAAAGTGTTCAGTAGCCCTCTTTGGCAAGTGGCTACAGTATTGGACAACATAGTTATGGAATATTTCCATCACTGCCGAAAGTTCTAGTGGACAACACTGCTCTTGAATGTTAAAACCCCAAAAGGGGAGCAATTCACTTCTGCCTTGTTCATAAGCATTATTCTATTTTTACAATGTTTTCAAATAAAATATTCACATCAATGATTCTGGTAGCATTTTTTTTGTATGCGGTCAAATCCAACTAACTTAAAAACCAAGCTGTGGGCCTTTTTAATGTAAGCTGTTTTCTCAACAATTAATGGGTTTCTACAGAGTAGTCAATATTGACTCAGGAGCTGCTAAGAGGACGCAAAAGACACAAGATCTAAAACTCGTTAACAAGAGCTTACACCATGGTGAAGAAGAGAAAAATGAGCAGACTGTAAACTCTTGTTTACCTGCTGTCATTTGAGGAGGCACTATTCTATAAGTTGAACTTAAAAATATTAATCAGAATCTTTCTAAAATTTGTTAATGCTTTCTTACCTTCTTACTCGTGGTCGTGGCAGTGGACATCATTTCACTGCACTCTAAGTATCTCCTAAGGAGTGCTGAGATATGGAAGAACATTTCCTCCTCAACCAAATGATCCTGGACTGCCTTTGTTTATGCTGTGGGCTGGGAAAGCCAAGCATGCAGCTTGTTATTACTATACATACACTAAAAGTTAATGGGCTGTCGAGCCAGCCCTGATGGCCTAGTAGTTAAAGTTGGGTGTGCTCCACTTCGGCAGCCCCAGCCCAGTTCCTGGGTGCAGAACCACACCACTCACCTGTCAGTGGCCATGTTGTGGTGGTGGCTCACACAGAAGAACTAGAAGGACCTGCACTAGAATATACAGCTATGTACTGGGGCTTTGGGAGAGGGGAAAAAATGGAGAGGAAGATTGGCAACAGAAGTTAGGTCAGGGCAAATTTTTCCCAGCAAAAAAAAAAACCTTTCCTAAAAAAAAACAATAATGGGCTAAGAGTGTAGGTGTAAGAAGTTTTACAAGTAAAGCTCATTAGTTTGTCGTAGGGAGTTCTGTGACACTGATTTGGGGAGCTCAGTTATCTTGATGGTAGTTTTGGTGGTATTGTCATTGCTTGCTTCTTGGTTCTCAAGTGTGTTCTGGGTGGGTGAGACTGCCAGAAAAATGACTGGGGGCAGAGTAAAATTACTCTATGAGAAAAATCAGAGAACAATTAACTACCAAACTGTGTGATGAGAGAGGAGAAGAAAGAGATCGTGGAGGAATGGAGTGCTAATCATGACTGACATTCGGTGAGCACACACCAGAGGCCCACTACAGCCTTGTAAAACCAGGACCACCGCTAGACCCATTGTTCGGATGGGGAAACTAAGGCACAGAGAAGTTCAATAACTTGCACAAGGCTACGGCTAGTACATGACAGAGCTAGAATTTAAACCAGCCAGGCTGGCTTTGGAGGCCACAGCCTAACTCTCCCCCATGCTGAGAGCTTCCTGGAAGAGGAGGTCACTTGAGCTCCAGAAGAGGATGATCCAAGAGGGGCAGGGATGCAGACAAGAGCAAGCATGGGACGTACTTTTCAAGTGAAAATAAGGAAGGTGTGAAATGGCTTAGCTTTTTCAGACATCTCTGATTTCAATAATATCCATTCATCCTCTGGGCCTCTTGCCCAGGAGAGCCATAAAAGTCCGCATTTTATGTTTCAGGAACCAAGGGCATTCTGTGGAGTCTCCTGTTATGACTGGTTAGCACGTTTTACATCCCACTTTTTAGATGGCCTTCTGGCTCCATATAACATTCAAGTTAACAAGCGATCCATGCATAGTCCCAATGACAAAGGCATCAGGCTGGGCCTCTGGATAGAGATGAGTAATAAAGAATGCTTGACTTTGCACACCCTATCATCAAGCGGGGTGATGCAAACACATACATGGGTAACTCTGAGGCAAATCCACTCATCCCAAATCCTTTGTGAAAGTACAAATTCAGTGTTAAATGAGTAAAAGACTTAAAGACTAATCCTACCTAGTTAGTTTGGGAAAAGCTTTACAGGAAGAGTAAGTTTTTTGGGGTTTTTTTTGGCAGAGTATGTGGAATGGAATTTTTATATCTGAGAGAATGAACAGAATTCTCTTGATCTTCTAGAACTGGCCAAACCCCCAGTGCACAGCCATCAGAATGTAATTGGCAGGACCAAAGAAGTTCTCAAGGGTCCCATAGCAGTCCTCAATCCTTGTGCCATTCAAGCCCCTGAATTGTCACCGTCAGCAGTTTTTGAGCACTGCTCAGTTCAGGGCACTGTGCCAAGCACTGGTGATATTAACAGAAAAAAATACACTCCCTCAGGGAGGTGGTAGCCTAATAAATGATATGGATGTAAAAGCTGCTTAGGGGTAAACATTTCTCTGTAGAATTGAAATACACGTTCACACAAAAACTTGTACCTGAGTATTCATAGCAGCCTTATTCATATTTGCCAAAAAGTGGACATACGTCAATTGATGTATGGGTAAATAAAATGTATATCCATACAATGGAATATTATTCAGCCATAGAAAAGAATGAAGTACTGACGCATGCTACAGCATGAATGAGCCTTGGAAACATTAGGCTAAGGGAAAGAAGACACACACAAAAGGCCACATACGGTATGATTCTGTCTATAGGAAATGTCCAGAATAGACAAGTCCATACAGACAGAAAGCAAGTTAATGGTTGACAAGGGATGGGGGAAGGGGAGAATGAGGAGTGACTGCTCATGGATAGGGGGCTTCTTTTTGGGGTGATGTAAATGTTTTGAAATTAGATAGTGGCAATGGTTGTACAACTCTGTGGGGCATACTAAAAACCACTAAACTGTACACCTTAAAAAGGTGAATTTCATGGGAGGTAAATTATACCTCAATAAAAAAGAGGAAAGAATGATTTCCCTCATAGACTCTAGACTGGGGTGGAGAAACTGGATATCAAGCATCCCCCCAGCCTTGGAGATAGGCTTCATTTGTAGCTGATTAATAAAGGCAGGAGCAGTCTTCTCCATGGACTGACGAAGCAGCCTTTTCTAAAACATTACTCCATATGAAGATGGTAAGAGTATCCCTGTGTAAAACACAGTTGGTTACCTGATTAACAAAAATCCTTGACTCTTTTAGAGGTGATAATTCTTATTACCATTAAATCTTTTTTTTTAAATTGAGGAAGTCTTGGTTTATAACATTATACAAATTTCAGGTGTGTATCATTATATTTTGATTTCTGTGTAGATGACATCATGTTTACCACCCAAAGACTAATTACCATCCACCACTATTAAATCTTAAGATAAAAGTACCTCAAAGACTTTGGATCCCACTTAGTGACTCATTTATACTAAGGTGTAAATGACTACACAAGTCTTAACTTAGAGCAGAAGAATGACAAGAGAAACTAAAAGGGTAGTGCTTAGAAGGGCAGGATGTGCAGAGCTAGACTACAGGAAAAAAAGAAAGATATCAATAAATCATCAAAGACAACATATTTATCAATAGCTATGTAGCTATTGATACTAGCTAAAGTAACCAGAAATTATATTGCCTCCTCTAAAGCCTTCTTTTAAAAATTGCTGAGAAAACATAATTGCTATTTTTGCTCAGAGTCATATTTAGGACTGGCAGGATTTCCTTGCGCTCCAAAGAAAGGTAAATCCCTCATCAAATGTTTTTTTGCCTTATATGCTAATCCAATCCCTATTTCTCATAAACTGTCTTGAATCCCATTATCTGGCCACAAAAAAAACACACAAAATTTAACACTGTAGGAAAAAGGTCTTCGGAGAGCCGAACTAATGACCGAATCATAAGGGGCCAGTTAGAAGATCAGAAGCTCCAGCAAACGAGCTAAACAGAGGAATTACTCAAGAAGACGGAGATTTAGGAAGAAACTGATTTCAACCAATCACAGATGGCTAGCAAGTAGCTGCCAGCTCAGATCAGCCCGGATGCTGTAAGCCAGCTTTTCTTTAATTGATATCTCATGCTTCCAAAAAAAGTGGGTGAAATTGCAGAAGATTCTGCCAGGATTCCTCTTAGCTTACGTAAGCCCAAGTTGAGCTGGCTTGAGGATTTATTAGGCAATGCTGTGAACATTTGTAACGCAGCATTTATTTTCTGAGCTATGTAAATAGATGTGATACTAGTGTCACCATCAGTTTAGGAGAGACGCTTCTCTTCATATGGTCTTATGTTGGCTGTTAGGCATTTGCATATTATTCATTATCTTCAAAGCATT